TCCAAGCAATAGCTGAACGTGGGAAAAACAAAACAAAAATTTACTAGCATAAATATATTGCTTTAATTTTTCTTTGATCCAAAAAGTATTTAATTCAATAGATAATGAAAAATGGTTCAATTAGATTTCTTATGAGTATGCTTCAAGCGTTGATCGCGATACATTCATTGCTAGCTCTTATGAACGTTTTAATATCTAAACTATTTATAGCAAGTACAGTTCTCACAACAAATTTGCGAAATTTCGGACCTTTAGTGTGAAAATGTATCGATGCGAGTGAACGACACGTAGCTATGGTGTCTATTTTCATACTAGTGCATTCCAGAAGTTTTGTAAACGCACTTTCGGTAAAATTTCGACAGGTTATCAAAAATAGAAGGAATCAGAACAAAAAAAGTGTTTCGCATACTTAAGGTAAGTTGAAAGGTAAGACTTCGGCGCTGAACAATTCCTGAGGGATGCGCCTTTCAGTCGATTTTCATCGAGAATCTTTCGAGGTGACTGAACCCATATATCTGATCTGTACAATACACTGAAGTGTCCTAGAGTATCAAAGGATCTCATGCTAACAGAAGAATCTATGATCAAATCATCAACCTTGGAAGGATAAAGGGTTAGTGAGAACGTGCATAATCGTGCCAACGACCTGGCATGTATTACAGGACAGCTAAGCAGTGTACGCGCTTTTGTGCACTTAAGAGAATGAAGAGGACTAGTTTTTCGATTAGTTAGATTTATCTCAGGTCTACACCCTTGAATACGACACTTGGACAAATATCCTGGATATAAGAAAGAGCTGCGAGGAAGACTTGCATTGATGTATACCGGCTGTAGGTATATAGTGAACGTCGGAGTACTGCTGATTACTTCTAAGAAGCGCCGCGCATTAACAAAGTAGACGCTCGTAGATGTGATACTGTACTGCATATCCAAAAATGCGTCTCCAATTATTATTCTGTAATATGTAGTGTTTTGAAAATAGTGCTTAAGAGCGCTTATTTTGCACTGTCACCACGTTTACGATGCACAAAATCACTCTTTTAGAGAGATCGGGGCTTCATTTGACTTGACTTGATCAAACCAAAGACTATGTGTAGCATTCAACGATTGCATTCCAGTTGATTACATAGATAATATCGTTCGTTAGAAATATCACAGCAAACCGGTACAGAGCTATCTGCTTCCAAAGGGAGCCATTTATAGGAAGAGTTTTGTTCCGGTAATCCATGTCGCACTGAGGGTTCACTACCACGAACTAAAATAATGCAACCCTCGTACAGAAAGGCTACCAATGTAGGGCTTTTACAGCCAAAACATCTAAATCCATCCTTATTTGAATAAGTATTGAAGAGAAATAGTCAATTAACATAGTAACTGCAGTGTCTTGCGAAATTTTGGGTATTTTGAGTTATCTGCGATGAGAGTGGAAAAGTCACGGTTCATTACATCAAAAAAGTAGTCGTATGCTAATAAGTGCGATATACACATCTCTCCGGCGATGACTAGATGAAGTCCATCAATACCTAAGTCTGCGCCGAGTAGATCCCATTGGAACTACTTCTACACTCCCAGTTGGCGATATTTAAAAATGCTGTTGATTGTGTTACTGAACATAACTTTTGAATCATTGATAGATGCTACGAAAATCGGAGTTGTGGGCACCTTCTAGGGCAGTTTGAACAAATACATTTGTATACAGTTTGAGAACTTCAACTATTTTAACAATCACCTATTCTGATAATAACGCGATAATATGGTAACATGTTTTGAGCCTTAGCTAAAGTGTGGTACGGCACTTATATAGTACTAGATTGGCCTGTTTCGCCTTTCCAGGCTCATCAGTGTACATTGTCTTTCGCATCAGCCAATCCTTTACAAGAGGATATACCCTACCTATAAAAGAATCGACACCAAATTTTTGCGGATATTTGAGCTCTCGAGTAATTAGTAACATTCCTGTCAAAAGTTCTTATCCAGATCATGAGGTCGAATGCTTATTTGCGCCCAGATAACCGAAAAGAGCCTTGCATCTTAGTGCTCATCTTCAATGCAACAATTGTTTCTTCAACCTTTGTACAGTTGGTAGCACAATGGCGCAATAGCGCGAAGTCTTGAATGTCATATGCATATTCGGACTGCTGTGATTGAAAGCTAAGCACTGCCTTACTGTTCTTTTTCAAGTTCTCCATTGTTTCTCATTCATATATACTCACCTACACCATTTTTCAGAAAAAGGTGATATTAGTTTCCATCACAAACATTAGTATTCCGAGCATAGCTCTGAAAAAAAACCATATTTCTTAAAATATTTGACATTTCCGTCTGCACCAATACAAATTTGCGAAGAGGAGCGACGTCGCAATTACAGTTTCTGAGTAAGATTTGACGTCGCGTGGTGAGCATCGAGAAGACCCTCGTGGTCCTCAACAAGATAGCATGCACTTTAAGTGATCTCCTAGCCCCTTCTACGTGAGCCGTTTTGGTGACGTCAGTTATAGGTTTATCCACGTCTCTTCATCTATTGAAAGGTTTGTATAGATACTTGTTTATTACACTACTAATTTGTGCCAGCATCTTAAAGCCTATTCGTCGCCTTGTAGTACTTTTCCAACGCTTCAGTCTTTTTCAAGATTCGAAATTATAGGCGATGTTGATTTTTTTCCAAAATTTCACTGAACTAAATCCCACTTATGCATTTGTTTTCACATGCGATATGTGAGCTTCGATGCAACAAAACTAGAGAAAAATATGTCATGGAAAACAAACACTTGTGTTTTTTGAAGAGTAGAAGAAAAAACTTTTATTGTGTACAAGGAGAAAAGTGAAGAGTCTAGTGGTTTTCGCTCAAATCATCAAAATTTAACGACTAAGATTGGTCCGGAGTTGAAAGCCGTCGATCATACACGATAGTTATTGCAGTTTTTCGTACCCTCGACGAAACAGCAAAACTTGTTATATTCAATATACCATGCATCAGAAAGCTGAAAATTATTAGTTAAACGACAGTAATAATCAGCAGGTGGAGTGTCATATGAATTGTCCAGAGTTAGAATAACTTTATCTGAATCAAAAGTTTTCACTACACAATAAATTACGACGGTGCGTTCTTGTCGTCCTTGTATTTATTTTTCCTTGACGCATAATTATACATACTCGGTTGATGGTATGTATAATAAATGGTGGCTGTCCCTCTTTTTAAAGTGTTGGAAAATATCGAGAACACTTATCATGATTAGCTGACGCGACGTTGGTAAATTAGTCGTAGAAATTCGGCTGACGTTTCGGCGAGTCGCCTTCTTCAGAGTCTGCGCGTATGTAGTATTAGTTCATTTGAATGATTCGGATGGTCCTATTTATATGCTGCCTAGGTTAGGTTACAAGATCAAACGGAGAAAAGGTGCGAGATCTTGTGTGATGATGATGCACTCGTCCTTCTAGTTCATTTCGGGATTTTGGGCGTTTATCCAAAGTGCCTCAAGAGTTTTGCGTGTGGATGTTTTTGGTCCTGCGCTAAGATTGTGGCAGATCATCAAAATCCTTGTTGTTGTGTTTTTGTGCCCTGTGTGAGCCCGAAGGTTTGGTTTTATCTATATTAGATTTACTATCTAGGTGTTCTTTCATGCGGATGAAAAGTGGTCTACCCGTTTCATCTATATATTCTTCCCCGCATGTTTTACATGTTAGTAAATAGATTGTGCCCGATCTCATACAATCCCCCTCTTTTCTGATAGGGCAGATCATACAGTTTTTGGTGTTGCACGATCGATCATAAAGTCTATTGCGGATCAGCTGGTGGCGTAGGGTGGGAGGTGGAATTTGAATAACTACCACGGAGTTTTCAAGACCACATCTTTTTGAGGACCTTTTAACCGCGCTACTAATTTCGTTTGATATAAATGGCAGTTTGAAGGGAACTATATTCAGGTGCGCAGTATTGCTCTTTCTGGACCTAATTCTACTTTTTGAATATTCCCAAGTACCAAATGTTTTATAGCCGTTGGAAATGGCATTTTTTTGTGCCAAGTCTAACGATTCGTTCCTTTCTTCTTCTCCTGTGCACACATTTTTAGCCGTTCGAGACACGTTTTTAATGAGCGATTTTCTCATGTGTGAAGGATGAGGGGAAAGGTGATTGACCAAAATATTTTATGTTACTTGGTGTTCGATAACAATTGTAGTATAGCCACTATTCAAAATTTTACTTGGATGTTTGAAATTGGAAGCCAGCTCCAGTTTGAACTCTCTCGCGTAAATTCGATATGCTCTGACTGTCTGTTCAAGACTTCAAAACATTTGTCCATTTCCTCTTGTGTGGAACACACAATGAAACAATCATCTGTATACCGGCAGTAGAGCAATACGCGGTGAACGAGAACTGGAGCTTCCACCTTATACATAAAAGCGATGGCAAGACTAGGTGCTAAATGTTGACCCATGGCTAGCCCCATGAGTTGTGTGAAGTATTTTCCCGACCACCGAAAGAGTGAAGAATTAAGACATTGTTTTGAGAGGGTCATTAGTTGTTGAATTGTGAAGCCATACATATTTACTTTTTGTTCATTTTCCGTTGAAAGTTCGAAAATGGCTTGCATTGCAGAGTCATTTGATACGTTTGTGTAGAGTGAGATAACATCAAATGACTCCACTACGTGCGAGTTGTTTGGTTTCGCGCAACATAGGTGATCTCGGAACATTTGGGTATTGGGTAGATGGTTTGGTATTCTTCTGTAGCGATTCTTCTGTGTAACATGCTCTTCCTATCGTTTTATCATGCACGACTTTTCGTTCACTGCAGTAGATCAAGCTGTAAACTTGGGCAATAAACCGCTATACGTACATTATAATACGGCAACATCAAGACACCGATATCGATAGACCAACAGAGAACTTGGATAGATACTATGCACTCAGTAGTTGGAATTATTAGAAATGAACGATCCTATGAGTAATGCGAAGCAGGCTCCTGAGGTATACATGTTGTAGCAAAGGCGCCACCAAATGCATTGGTGGTTTAGTGGTAGAGCACTTGCTTGTCATCTGGGCGACCCGGGTTCGATCACCGGCCAGTGCACATCTGGCCCACACCAGAAGTGCACTGGCTGGGACCCGGGTCGGTCGCCCAGGTGGCAGGCAAACGCTCTACCACTAAACTACAAATGCATTTTTTGGCGGCGCCTTTTCTACAATTTTGGTGCATCGGCCGGGAATCGAACCCGGGTCGTTCGCGTGGCAGGCGAGCATTCTACCAATACCATTCATAGTCATTCATATACGATAACTTTCGAAATCCTTCATATCCTCAACAAAACAGCAAAACTTGTTAAATCAAATGTACCATATTTGAAAAAGCTGAAAATTAATAGTTAAACGACATTAATTGTTAGCAGGTACAATGTCATATTAATTTATCTGAATCCAAAATTTTCACTACTCAGTGGATTACGACAGTGCGTTCTTGTCGTCCTCGTATTTTTTTTTTCGTTAACGCATAATTATACATACTCGGTTGCTGGTATGTATGATATATGGTGATTGTCCCCTTTTCAAAGAGTTGGAAAATATATGAAGCATCTCGGTATCTCCATTCTTATTATTTATGAAAGGAATGAACTTTGGTATTTTCAACAATTATGTCGCTTTGCAGGTACTAGTTGCTGTACTAATTATTGACTCCTTTATTTTGTTCATTTTGCCATTCATCGAAGTGTTTTCAAATGGTCTTCTTCCGTCTGCAGTGGATTTCGTCTATCCTCTGATGCTTTTCGTAGCTATGGTACGTCTATTTCCTAGCGTACCATGAATTTCAGAAATAATGGATGATGCTGATACTGATATTTCGAAAACTGTAGTACTTGAGGACATGAAATTGACAGACACATAGAAGAGGCTTTGCTTTGTCGCCATAACGATATGAAATCCACTATCAGTCTTAAACTTGCTCAACCCTCTCATGGCCAACCAGTCGCAGCGTGGTTATGGCATTCCAATCATTACTAGTGTTTCAATTAGTAATCAGCTTTAGCGTGACGAGTTATTTTCTTAAATCGTCTTTACTCTTCGATTCACAAAGCGAAAAAGGACCTCTAGAAATGGCTAAAAGGCTTCGAACAGTACATTTAAAAGGCTATTTCAAAGGAATATGTACAAACAAGTGTGCATAATGTTGTTAAAGAGTTTAAAGCTCAATTTTTCAAAGTTGGAACCAAATCTTAACATTTTCAATGTAAGCTGGCGGCCGTGAACACGAGTAACAGATTTGGGGCACCATAGTTTCCTTTTGCATACAGTTCTTCTTTTCAATTGCTCGATTACTGCATATTTAAGGTTGTTTGAGAGAAATAGAAAAAAGTCTGCGAGTTCCAAAGTTCTCGCATTCAAAGGTCATTGATTTTTATTTTTTTTTACAACAAAGTTCAATCTAAACAGAAACATTTGTCTATAAATTGAGAGAGCAATTATGCTCGATCACTTCCAATTTGCAAGTCCATTTTTTATTAAAAGAAGTGAAAATATATAATGGCGTATTCACCACAAAACATATTCTGTTTTGGTGAATAGGAATCGTTCTGCATTTCGTCTCATCGCAGAAATTTACCCTACACTCTTCTTCGACGGCTATGAGAGGTGTTTTACTATCGAAGCGTGACCAAATGTGTAGAAAAGCCATAAATACTTAGGTATTGTGGTTTCAGACTCTACACGCAATATTTACATTCTTCTTCTGTCGTTGTGGGAAGCTGACGTCAGCTGGTTTGTTTCTCTCATGGTTATTTTTCACCGTTTGCGGTCTACCTGAAATGCTATATTGGCTGTACTACAAATCTGATTTACAGGTAGTTTCCATAGTGATGAAATGCGCAGTTTAATTTATTATCTGTGATCTCTACAGAAGAGCTGTTCGACAGACGTTATTCGCCGAGTAGCACATTTGCTCTGGTGGCCAGTATGTTTTATTGAGCTCGTTCTTCACTGTTTTGCTGATACTCCTCCAGTCTCTTACAAAGTCTTAAACAATAAGGGAGTGGGTTTCACGTGTTCCTGAAATACTTATTTTTGACTTTTAACACACATTATGTTCTCGAGTCATATGCAGGTTCCTTCTCCTGAAATATTTTCATCGTTTATTAATCGCTTAACAACGTGGTGGTTTAATGACATTTGCCGGAAGGGAATCAAGAAGCCATTGGAGGTTTGTCTAATTTAGTGATACAGTTTTCAGTAACACCTTGGTCTCTTCTTACAGGTTCCTCGAAAATACATAGGTTAGGCGCATCGAGATAGTGTCCTCCAGTTGAACGAGAAAAATGCGGCGCGTTAATGTGTTAATAACAGCTCATAGTAATGAGTCTCTTCAATATATTCTGAGAGATTGTTTTGAGCTTTTTTGAAGTTTGATATGTATGTAGCTTACGCACGTTTCGGCGGTCTCGCTCGCCTCATCACAGCCACACACCTCACCAGTCCATCCTTGCTTATAGTTATATTAGGGAACAAGCAGGGGTAATTGGTGGGGCTTATGGCTCTGATGAGGCGTGCAAGACCGCCGAAACGTACGTAAGATAATGATGTTTTTTGAAAGCAGTCGATTGAAAGGCAATGGGTAGTTATTGAAAGCCTAATCGGTGCCCAAACCTTAACATTTCGTGTACAAAATTAGGTTTTATTTTACCGCATTCATTTCTTCTGCGATTCCACTTAATGTTTCACATTTCTCATTTTTATTGCTCTCTCGTTTGCTAAAATATCATAGATGACCACAGTAAGATAGCATAAAAATCTTAATTTCCTCAATCGAACTTTCAGCCAAAAGACTTGTACGCATTGAACGACGACGACAGTTCTGTTGTATTAGTGCCAAAGTGGAATGAACTGTGGGAGAAAAAAGTGGATGGTGCGTGATTGACTGGGATCGAGCACACTTGTGATTTCTTCCATCGTCTTTCCTAATTTCATCGCATTTCTTATATCAGTGTTTATCATTCAGAATATAATTCTCAGTGTTCTGCTTGTGGTTCTCATATTGGGACGTTGTACAATGGATCTCATACGCATACTACTACAGATTCGGAAACTGCTCTATTACTGAACGAAGACGAACTACGGAACAACGTTGATGTACATGTGTATTATGATGTTATGAGCTTTTCTTTTGAACGTTCAACTCACGTTTAGAGCGAAAATGATCCACTTCAAAGCGTCTCGCCTAACAGAAAACGTCCATCGATAATTTGGTGCCTCTTTACACTCTTCAAATGGGATATAATCACGGCGATGTTCACAAAAGCTCTGTCAGATCTTCTTCAATTTTGTAATCCACTCCTGCTAAGGTCTGTTAAGGGTAAATGCATTTATTTGCTGCATGTAAAGATAATTTTCAAGCTGACTTTACCTTTCTCCGTTAAGATCTTTGATCCGATTTACTGAGAATTCTCAAAACCCGTTGTGGTATGGAATTTTCCTTGCCTTAACTATGTTCGGTACATCAGAGTTGTCGTCTTTGATGCAATCCCACTACTACTATCTCATGTATAGAGTAGGCACTCGAGTGCAAACATGCCTAACAGCAGCTGTCTATAGGAAAGTAAGATCATTTATAGCAAAAGTGTCAGCATATTTATCCTACGCTAATTTTCTTGTTCTCAGACCCTTCGTCTCTCCAATACGGCTCGCAGAACAAAGACTGTGGGCGAAATTGTGAATCTGATGTCTATTGATGTAGATCGCTTTCAACAAATATCCCCAAATACTATGCAGTACTGGAGTAATCCTCTTCAAGTATGCTGCGTTCTTCATCTTCTTTGTGCAATTTACCACCCTATATGACGACGACACTTGAGCGAGCAAGATTTTTCAGATCATTCTTGCGTTGTTTTTTCTTTTTCATCAAATCGGATTACCCGTGGTGAGCGGGGTCGCTATCATGCTTATGCTCTTTCCCATTAACTTCCTCATCACTATGCTCATTAGGAAATGTCAGGTCGGCTAGCAAACATTGAATTTTTTTTTTTGATTTTCTTTAGTTATGCACAGTTGGTAAAACGTAGGTTTTTGCGTTTTCAACTAATGAATATTACATACTAGTTCGGATAATTTACTAGATTAGCACCTGTAATATATTAAGGTTTTTCAGCTTCAGCAAATGCGTTATAAAGACGAGAGAACAAAAATGGTCAATGAGGTGCTCAATGGAATGAAGGTTGATCTTACTAGCTAAATTTTCGATTTTCCAAATAAAATCGCCTCTGTGTGCTGCTTCCATCAGTGAAACGTCAAAGAAAGGAAGGATACTTTTCCTTTATCGAAAACTGACTACAATGGGTCTTTATTGCTAGACAAAGACTGTCCAGTGAATTTTTTTTTATCATTCGTAAGCTTAAATCTCGGCAATTCGAAAAGTGTACTTGGTCTTTCAAGCAGCCATCTTATACCGTTGTAGAGATAAATTTGGATTGTGTTTCCGCGCATTTTTCGTTATTTATTTGAGAATCTTGACTTTGTTTCGTAGAGATTTTTAGGCTCTTTATCTTAGAATTGTAGAAAAACTTTTTTTACGTCGTTTCACGGGCCTGAGCTTTTTGCTTTTATTATATATTGCCAGCCAAACCCGTATCATGCCTAGGCCTAAGGAGCTTTGACCTATGCAAGAAAACCACTTGAACATGTAGGAAAAATTATAAAGTATCAGAATCGCACATGTTCTGTAGAGTTTTTTTTAGACGGAGAAATAGAAACTATATATTGGATGAAAAATCACGCGCGTAAATGGAGCTGGGAGGTCAATCTACCACGCAGTCGATACACGACCATTTACACACCCCAACCGACCATAAATGAACGCGAATGTGAAGCTCACTCTTATCGTCCTTGCTGTAGTGCAATAAAAAAAGTCTTTTGAAAAAACAAGCGCAGTGCCTATTTGCTGAGATTTACGCTGTTGAGCTATTCCTAGTAGTCTAGAGGAAGAACTCTGTCCAGCGAAAGATACGCGCGAGAACGCGCGTATCTTTGAAATTGCAAATTTATTTTTATTGATATAGTGCTAAACATGCCTTCCCATGGAAAGCAAATACA